AGTCAGTACTGACTGTTAGACCAGTCAATACTGACTGTTAGACCAGCAGACAGACTGGGACCAGTCAGTACTGACTGGTCTAACAGTCAGTACTGACTGTTAGACCAGTCAGTACTGACTGTTAGACCAGCAGACAGACTGGGACCAGTCAGTACTGACTGTTAGACCAGCACACAGACTGGGACCAGTTAGTACTGACTGTTAGACCTGCAGACAGACTGGGACCAGTCTGTACTGACTGTTAGACCAGCAGACTGACTGGGACCAGTCAGTACTGACTGTTAGACCAGCAGACAGACTGGGACCAGTCAGTACTGACTGTTAACATGTAAAACATTACTGGAAAGAACTCATTTTATTCTAAAACTCACAAAGATTCAGATATTCTGCGTTCATTTCAAGGGTTTTGTCAAGTTTTATAGTTTTAATGCTTAAAGTGAAAAACATTTATTAGTTTAGATTCTTTCATTTATTCGTCACATAAAAACTCATCCTTTAGTTTGGAAAGTGTCTTTTATGTCTCAGGGCTGCAACTGATGGAGACTCATTCTGATAAATTCTGGTGAAATGTGGAGGAGATTTGACACATCTTACAGTCTCACATAGGACTGGGCAGTATGACCTCAAATCCACATCACAGTATAAACTGAACCCCTTCACAGTAACTGTATATATCGTGGTAGAGAAATATAAAAAGTTAAGATAATGTCATTTTTAGAGCTTTTTTTCGCAGAGAACTGTAATCTTAATTAAACCCAACATTTTTGCTTTAATATAAACCTGTCAAACAATGAGCTGCTGCTCTGCTGCACGCTCATCTTCATCATCTTCATCATCAGAGCAGAAGCTGACTTTACATTAGCAAGATGGATTTATGACTGAACGAACGTCCACGTCTTTTTTTTTTATCATCTCTGTGGGTAAAAATACATAAAAAACAAGTTTTTTCTCCAACATTTGGGTGTAAAAACTAGAGTTGTTGAAGCTTGGCTCTGCGCTGCAGGAGGGAGGGATGATGATGATCCCACGACACGACRTAACCTTTCTAAAGCAGGAGGGGGATATTTTCAGGATTTATCCTCTTTACGTGTTTTAAAACACTTGAATTTCTTCATTATATTTCAAACTTGTCCTGCTCAGGTGTCTGTGCACTCACAGCCCTGTTGACACAGGTGTGATGACGTAATGATGACAGGACGGTAGAGTATAAATTTCTACCACATATACAGTACCACGCTGGCCTAGTCTCACTAAATTCTGAGGATTTGCAACCAGCAAAAAACCCAAATCTAARTCTAAAATATTCTAGATTGTTTACATTAATGTGTTGTTCACCTCCAGCAGTGTTTGCATGCAGGTGTCACATTCAGCTGTAGCACCTGTGAGACAGGTGAGACGTTCACACACCTGTGTTTTCAGACAGAGCTGATGCTCAGTGTGTTTGTAGCAGTGCTGTTTGTGTGTGGACTCCTGGTTGGAATAAAACAAAACGTTCATATTGAGACAAATGGAAATAATTAGGTTTTATTTGATTATTTCTACTAATTGTATTACACGTTGTGTAGAAAATACTGCACAATAACAGTCGTATTTAAATGTAATCAGATTTTGTGACGTTATAAAGTCCTACCACACAAAGCCACATGCAGTGGAGCCCCACCCTAAAGCACAGTGGAAAAACTAAAGTGAAGAATAAGAAGTGTGCTTCAGTGCACTGGCACCTTTAAATATRTTTATCAGCCTTGTGTTCACAACATTACAGAGCTACAGAAGCATGTTTCCATCAGAGTGCTGTCATACATCATGTGTTAAATAAAAGACACATGCATGGATATGTGTGTGTCTGTTTTCCTCCAGTGGTCTTGTGCTGATAAGTTTTATTTGAAGTGTGCTCTCACTGTTTGCTTCAGTCTTTGCTTAAAAAACCCAGTTCTGTTAGCCTGACGTGTTCTGATACTGTGGTTTCAGGCCTGTAAGGGGGAGGGGGTCCAGTCTGCCAACCATCACACGGAGCCACAGGCCAGTCCTGCTAAGAAGCAGCGTACCTCCAGCCCAGCTAAGGTACAGCAACAATAAACCAGTCAGTGTTCCTGCAGGCTGAACCTGGAAAACAACAGATGTTTGACTGTGTTGACAGGGAGCTGCAGACCCCCGGACCAACAGCTGCAGTCAGCAGCAGACCCCCAGCTGGTGCCTAACACCACAGAGACTTCAGGTGGGACAGGCCTGCTCGTTCTATCACCTGTCATTCACTAGTTCACAGATCACTATTCATTTTGTTTCAGTGCAACCTGAACACTCAATATTATATTTCTTCTGCATGTTTCCACACATCCTGCAGACGCAGTGCAGAGGATTGTTTTTCTCTGAACAAGTCACACAATTACAAACTTACAAGTTCATTTATATTTCACATTTCAACCAGGAGAAAATGAAAAGCACTTTACATGATGAATGAT